GCAGCCTCTCTCCGGGTAAGACCTGAAGCTCCCGCGACTCGAAGTGTGAGGTCCCTAGGCCCTTCCCGCGGAATAGGCGCTGAGAAACCCCGAGCCCTCTCCCGCCTCCCAGGCACCCCCGGGTTCAGGACTACAACTCCCAGCAGGGCATGCGAAGCGAACGCCCGAGGCAACGGAGGCCCGCGAGGCACAACGCCCCAATCCAACTTGTTTTACACTTTTTCACTTTCCCTGCACTGTATACATCTCAACAACCTCAAGAAACAGGACACTGACTCGGGGGTGGGGGGGAGGGCTGGAACTGGGGTGAAAGGCCAAAGTGCGCATGCGTTTAAAACAATGTTTCCAAGAGGAAAAAAGACAGGTCAACTTAGGCGAAGGAAAGATGGCGGAGTCTTCGCCAGGGGACCCGGAAGCACTTACCCTCCACTTCCTCCTCCTGTTTGGCTTCTGTCTCACCTACAGCCGTCCGGTCGCAGACTGTCTCCGAGACGCTTCCTGTCCGGTGAGCGTCGAACGACTGAAATGGCCGCCCATAATGCATTGCGATGGCGGGTAGGCGGGGAGGGGCGGAGCCAGGGCCGGAAGTAGAACTGTGGCGGCGTCGGTGGCTCTGGCAGCTCGGGACTGAGTGCAAGGTGACTGGGACGGTAGCTAGAGCGGCTTGACCCCTTGGGACTGCGATTCTGGGTTTCTTCACACAGCCGGGGCAGCCTGTAACCTCTTCCCTAGTAGGAGGAGAAAGCAGTCTGTGTGCCTGGCACCTTCGTGGCATGGCGCAGGGTCACAACCGAACTCCGCGCTTCTAGGCCTTGAAGTTTGCCATAGACCCCAAAATAAGATCTATAATACCTTCCCCGCAGGCGAACGTGGGAGGAAGGGAAGCTGGGGGATCGTGAGTCTGAAGCTCGGTCGGGGCAGTCCAAGGTCAGGCAGGCGGGTCTCTGCTGCCAAACCTGTCGGTGCCCAGGACACGCGGGAGAATCTTCTGAACTATGCACTGGGCAGGTCATGCACCATAAAAGGGAAAGAGGCAGTTAGTAATCCCAAAATTGTGCATCTCACCTAAAAATTGTGAGAGGGTGCCTAACATTTCTTTAGGCAGCTTTGTGAATTAGGTACTGAAGAGACAACAAATGAACTAGCCTTTGACTGGTCGGTCACTATAAATAGGCTACCCGTGCTACCTCCCATTGGCAAGGACTGCCAGGGCTGCAGTACCCTCTTGCTAATGCCTTTCCCATTCTTTTTACGTTAGGTCCTTAACATGGGCTCTGCTAGTACTTGAATAAGTAATTTTATCACATATGGTATTACACCTATTTGTGTACTGATATGTCCTCGTGATGGTGGATTATGCACACTTATTATTAAATCAGAAAAATGAAAGGACGTGATGGAGGAGCAACAAGTTTTGATAAGAAGGATTATGGGTTCATTTTTGGGGTGAGTGTAGGATTTAGGTCATGAGAGCTGTAGAATATTATTCATTATATGTTGTGAGGCTTCAGGAAAAAGATGTTATTTGGGAGTCATTGGTACTTAGGTGATAGAAAATGAATTTCACCCAAGTTGTTGTAGGAATGACGTCTTGTGGTTAGCTTTAGAGCATATTAACTGTGAAGATGTGAGCAATTTAATAAACTTTCTTATAAATAATATTATCATCTGTAAAGCAGGGGTAAGAACACCTTTCTGTAAACTCTTAAGTATTTTTTTTTTCAGAGTTACAAGGAGGGGATATATGAAGTAGTACTTTGCAAAATACGGAGGGCTGAACAGATGTTACATTACTGCTGGGTGTTAGGCATGTTCTTAAGTTTGCCAGAAGGGAAAGAACTTTGAATTGGATGATGTTTTTTACATATTTATGTTGATTCAGTTCTCCTGTGTAATGTTGGACCAGGGTACTTAACCTTTATGCCTCAATTTCTGTATGTATAAAGATGAAATGATACAGAGTACCTTATAAAAGCATTTGTTGTTGGGTTGTAGTCTTCTCAAGATTTTTTTTTTTCCTGATGGAGTACAGGTGTGATATGGTAAGGAATTCTTTCAGTTCTTCAATGGTTTACTTTCCTTCTCTCTAGTGAAGGATATCTTGCTGATCCTATGATTTCTTTGGGTAGTTTTTATTTGCTATTCCTGGGTTTGTCAATATTGGCACTATTGACATTTTTGGACTAGATAAGGTGGTTGTGAGGTGGGGGTGCTGTTATTATAAATATTTGGCAGCATCCCTGGTGTCTGCCCACTAGAGGCCAGTAGCAGTCAACCTAGTCAGACCAACCAAAAATGTCTTCAGACATTGCCATATGTTTCCTGGGAGATAAAATCTCCTCTTTCTTCCACTTTAAGAACCATTTTGCTACTCTAGTGTTTTCTAACTAGTGCTTCTCAAACTTTCATTGTGAAAGGCCATACAACCTAGTGGGTGTTTTTGAAGAATACAATGAAAATGAATTATTGGAAAAATGATATGAAGGGGGAAAAATGAAACAAAACACACAGAATACAAATTTTTTTATTATTAAGTTCACAGCATAAAATAATTTTGTTGAATTGCTCTAAAAGCTTCTTAACTGCTTATTCAATTCTCTATTACTATAGATTAGTAATGGTTTGTATACCATCACTGGACTTATCTATTATGACTTCTTATAAGTCTGGTGTCAGGATGAGGATAATTATTAGTTTGGAGGAGGGCATGAGAAAGAAGCATGTTAATATATTGGGACTACACTTTTAGATTTAGAAATGCTACCAAGCCAAATTGAGCACATGGTATGGGCCTGTAGACCCATATATATACTCAGGAGGCTGAAGCGGGAGAATCACTTGAGCCCAGGAATTCAAAGCCAGCCTGGGGAACATTTGAGACCCTGTCTCAAAAAGAAGAAGAAGTATCACCAGGCTATATTTGTCACCATTTCAATTTAGGGATTGGTAAAACCCTTCAAATTTATAAACTAAGTTTTAATCTGATGAAATTTTTCTATTAATTTGAAATATTTTTTGCATTTGGTCATTAAATCACAAAACCAGGTCTAAAAAGAGATCATCCTCTAATTTATCTACTGGAACTCTCTTTAAATTAGAAAATAATATATTTTAGCTATTGTTAAATTTCATATTTTTAAAATTTAGACGTTCAGAGCTGGACTTGTAGCTTGTCTAACATTGAAGGACCTTTGTTTGATCCCTAGCACCAGGGGAAAAAAGATCAGACTTTGATCTCCTTTGCAAATTCTGTTTCACTGATTAGGTCATGCTGTCTTACCTTCTGTTGTTACAGGGCTTACTTATGCTGGTTGGTTTTTTTTTTTTCCCTCCTCTTTCTTTTGGATGTTGATTTGGTTGTTACAGTGTTTTTAAATGACTAGAAACCTACAGTTATCATAAGCAAAGCAGTTTCTTTCCCTGTGGGTCTGTGAAGTATGAATTTCCCGCTGTTGTCCCTAGCTACAGCAGCTGTCTACAGTCTCTGCCTAGTTCTATTTTGGCCTTTTGAGGAATTGGAGAAACCTAGCCCATTCATTTGGAAGCAGGTTTTCTTTTCCTACTGGTGGTAGGTAGTGTTTTAATAGCCTGCTTCTATTATTTCCTCTGGTCCAAGGCTAAGTTAGGAAAAAAAAATCCCATCCCAGATTTTGTACTTTCTGCTGTAATGCTGGTGGAGCCTCAAGCTTGAATTCCTAACTGTTCCTAGGTCCTAGAGCCTTTTAGTAAAAAGCAAAAATCTCGCAGTGTGAATTGAGAGGGGAAGGGGACTCTGATTAGTTTTAGACTGAGTTCTGTAACAATTAGCAGGATTAAACACCCACCCCCATGTGATATATTTAGAAGTGTTTTGCAAGAAGTGCATTAACATTCCAATGCTTGTTTTTAGTACCATAGAATCACCATGGTTCTTCAGAGGCTCTTCAAGTTCTCCTCTGTCATTCGGTCTGCAGTCTCTGTCCATTTGAAGAGGAACATTGGTGTTACAGCAGTGGCATTTAATAAGGATCTTGATCCCATACAGAAACTCTTCGTGGACAAGATTAGAGAATATAAAACAAAGAGACAGTAAGTAGATAGGAAATCAACTGCAGTGTAAATATAACTATTCAAAATATCAAAGTTTTCTGATTTGAGTCACAAACTCTGTCTTCTTTATAAGGAATCCCAGGAAGAAATCCATTAAATCTATTGTCATTTAAAATATATTCTTACTGTAATGTCATTATTATGAACTGAGTCAACTCAGAAGTATGTAGAATATTATAAATCATTTAGCAGCTCTACTTGAGGAAAGCAAGTCCCTTCAACATCAATTAGCCTAATTGAAAGAAAACAAAGTATTCTGATTCTTGTGTCAGAGAATTATTCTAATTTTCATAGTCATAGAACTCTGGGAATGTCAAAGGACAAAAGACTAAAATGACATAAAAAAAAAAGGTCCAAGAAAAGTTTGATTACAAAACCACACAGTTTTAGATATGCACTTTAGCCATCATCAGCCATTTTTCAAATCTTAGGAAAAATATCAATTTATAGTTCCATTTCTCTCATTTAGTTGTCTACTGTTTGCAAAGTACAGGGTTATTTTAACTCTGGTGGGTAATACTGCATTTTAAAAATATTCTTTAATTAGGATAAGAAACTTTTAGACAAGTAAATACAACAAAAGGTAAATGGTTAGGTGCTTAGGAAGTGACATATTCTGTGTTTGGAAAGTTCATAGGAAGAAATCCTCCTTTCCATCTTGAGGCATTTGAAAGGCTTCTTGGGAGAGATCTTTTATTCTGTCTTTGAGGACAGTGTTTGGGGTCATTCATCCCTCTTGAGAATCTTATGAGTAGCCTGAAGGTGAACATTGAAAGTCTTGATTGAAGGCTCTATTTAGAATTTTGCTGTTTGTTTTGGCAGCCATTATCATGTGGGACTATTAAAATTCTAATTCATTGCAGGTAAGTATAAATAAAAATTCAGTTCTTCAGTCATCTTATCCATATTTCTTGTGCTCAGGCTAGGAGTCTAGCTCAGTGCTAAAGCATTTTCCTAGCATGCATGAGACCCTGGGTTTGATCCCCACCCAGCATTCTTAAAGAAAAATACATAATATCTTTCCTAATGATCAATATCTGTTCAGATATATGTGGATATTAGACAGATATAGAGCCTATCTGGTATTACAGGAAGTTCTATTGAACAGTGCTGACTGAAAAGAAAATTGGGTCCATTAGAAGGAACATCATTATTGGGTTCTTAGGTTGGAGTTGTCTGTATGTCTTTGTGTAAGATCTTTTAACAGATTTACCAATGCTTTGATAAGGGCATGTGGGAAAATATTACCCTTAAAAGAATTTTTGTAAATTTTTTGTTTATCGGGGCTGGGGTTGTGGCTCAAGCGGTAGCTGGCCTGGCATGTGTGCAGCCTGGGTTCTATCCTCAGCACCACATACAAACAAAGTTGTTTTGTCCACTGAAAACTAAAAAATAAATATTAAAAATTCTCTCTCTCTCTCTCTCTCTCTCTCTCTCTCTCTCTTTCTTTAAAAAAAATTTTTTTGTTGTTTATCATATCCATTAGTAGGCAGGTAGTAACACTATGACAAACAAAAAATTTTGTTCAAAGAATAAATTAGACATATTTGCTTCTGCTGCTCATCCATGGTGCTATACTCATTTTCCCGAAGCCCAACTCTATTTTTTTCTCATTTTATTGCTTAGCAAATAAAATGCAAATCACCAGGCTTAGTGTTCCAGGCCTCACATGAACTGGGTTCTGCTGGATTTTCCATCTAGACTGCTCAGTGTCCCCTCATTTAACCAGTGCTTTGCCACCTCCATTTCTTTGCTTTTTCAGTTTTAGAAGGTCTTGAATTAAAATCTAGCCCTAAATTCATGATTTATCTCAAATACCACCTTTGTTAAATTTCCCATGATTAGCTTAGTATAGGTGATCTTTTCTAAATTTGACTGGCTTTTTGTTAAATGTGTCTTCAAAGCTTATCATTTAACTACCTGACAATATAAATTTTTATAAATATGTCATCTTTTTCTTCTAATGGCAAAATTGCTGAGGGTTTGAAACAGTTTGCTTCTTTGATAGAACATTATTGTAGAGAGAAAAATTCCCAAGATCTCTTCTTTTTATTTAAAAATTTTAGATGCTGGGGATTGAACCCTGGAACTCTCACATGATAAGCATGTGCTGTATTACAGAGCTATACTTCTAACCTTAAGATCTTTTAATTAAAAAAAAAATCTTTTTTATTTTTTGGTACTAAGGATTGAATCCAGGGGCATTTAACCACTAACATACTCCCCAGCCCTTTTTTTTATTTTATGTTTTGAGACAGGGTCTTGCTAAGTTGTTCAAGGCCTCACTAAGTTGCTGGGGCTGGCCTTGAACTTGTGATCCTCCTGTCTGAGCTTCCTGAACCACTAGATTTACAGGCTATGCCACCATGCATGCGTAGCCTGGAACCAGTCATTGACTCCAGAGCCTACAGACATTTTATTGGAAGTTAGACTCTGAAGAATTCTAACTTAATAAGGATCATTGACACAGACTTTGAGTGTTAAGAGATTTGTTTGTTTGATATTACCTCATTTTATTTGAAACCTCATTATATTAAAATAGTTTGAATTGAAATATAAGTGGAAATACTTGTTTTTGTTTTTTTCCTATTTTCCCTCTATGAATACCATTACAAGGTCTATTAGAACTTGATGGTGAAGAATAATTTTTGGTTTTTAAAGTGGGACATACAGTTAGGTTTTTTGTTCATTTACACAACAGAACATCTGGAGGACCTGTTGATACTGGCCCAGAATATCAACAAGATTTGGAGAGAGAACTTTTTAGGCTTAAGCAAATGTATGGTAAAGCGGACATGAACACATTCCCTAACTTCAAATTTGAAGGTAAGTCTCTTTGGTCACAGATTCATTCTCACAGGAAACTATTATAAGTGGAGAATATTTACACTTTCTTTTTGTGCAAGGGAGGTATTTAGAGGATTAAATGACAATGACATGTGAATTTATTTAGGACCAAATAAACTCATGGGAGCTGTTCAACCAGTGTCTGCTGCTAGTGTAGATCATAAAACACAGTTTGTTTGTTTATTTATTGTTACCAGGGATTGAACCTGGGGGCGCTTAATCAATGAGCCCATTCCCGGTGCTTTTTATTTTTATTTTGAGACAAGGTCTCCCTAAGTTGGTTAGGGACTCAATAAATTGCTGAGGTTGGCCTTGAACTTGTGATCCTCCTGCCTCAGCCTCATAAGCCACTGCGATTACAGGCATGTGCCACTACACCTGGCATAACATACAGTTTAAGCAATGGGGTTCTGAAATCAAACTGTTTGATCTTGAATCCTAACAGTATTGCTTACTGACTGTGTGGTTTTGGATAGTTCACTGGAACCTGTTGTCCTCATCTTATATTTGAGGAGAATGATAGTATCTTCCTCTATACACAGTAGTTGTAGTCAAATGACATACATGAAGTCAGTTAATAGCCTCATTCATAGAAAGTGTTAAATAAATGTTTAACTATTGTTAAATTTCTGTGTAGATTTTAAAAACAGATGTTCAAGTTGGGTATTATGGTGCACACCTGTAATCCCAGTGACTGGAAAAGCTGAGGCAGGAGGATTGCAAATTTGAAGCCAGCCTGAGCAACTTACTGAGAACTGCCTCAAAATAAAACTAAATTAAATTTAGGAAGGGCTGTGGATATAGCTCAGTGATAGAACACTAGCCTAGCATGCATAAGATCCTGTTATTTAATTCTGAGTACCACAAAATATAGATTGGAAAATAAAGACAGATGTTCACTTAAAAAAAAAAATCTGAAGATTGATGAATTAAACCTTCAAACATTCTGGATGCATTTTATTCTAGTATGGCTAAGTTTGAACCTTTTTTTCCCCTCTTCTTATTTAGATCCCAAATTTGAAGCCATCGAAAAACCCCAATCCTGAAGAAATGTAAAATGAATCTGGTAATTCATTATGAATTAATTGTACAGCTAAGTAAAAGTTTCAAAATAAACAAAATTTCACAACTATCAAGTGTTGTTTTAATTCTGATCCCAAATAAATTATCTACTGATGTTGAATGTATGTTTGAGTGTATTGAATTCTGTGTCTTGGGGTTGTTTTTAAATCCTTTCATTTGACTATAATGAAGCAGATGGAGATGTTGGAGATTTTGGATACAGCTAGCCCAGATCCCTGTCAGGCTCTTTTCAGAGTGCAGAGGAGGAATCTTTTCAGTGGTATGGACTTAATTCCCTCAGGGAATGGATATACCCTTTCCTAAAACGTTCAAAAAATGGTTTATAAATCATTTGTCATAGATTTTTCAGGAAACTCAAGAGTAATTTTAGATTTAAGTAGGACCGTCTATTGTGCTTTTAACTTCTATAGACTCAAAGTCCAGACTTGTTTGCAGATCAGAGTCCTTTATAGCTCCTGTAGATTGAAAAGGGAAAGGTTGGCGACAAAGAGGGAGGAATGCTTCAAAACAGAGTTTACTTTAAAAGATTAGGGGCTGAGGCTATAGCTCAGTGGTAGAGCATTTGCCTAGCATGTGCTAAGACCCTGGGTTTGACCCTCGGCACAAAAAATATTATATGGTGTTATTTTGACCAAGAAATGAAAGATCTAGCAATTACATCCATATTAGTGGCAGTAGGGTACTGCTAAAATTTCAGTAACCCTAGAAAACTCTCAAGGAAGTTTTTTTATTTTAAAAAGGAAAAATCATCATGATATTTTAGATCTGATAATATCTCCAACATGTCAATATAAACCTTTAAATATTTTCTTTAAAAATGTGAAATAAACACTTATGAGTTGTAGATAACTTGAAAGGGAAATAGTTTTACCATGTCACCATAGCTGGGGTCAAATCTGAGGAACATCTTTTATGGAAGATCTATAAATGTTTCTTAATGGTATGAGTATGATTCATGTGTGGAGAAGGAATTAGGAAGGGTAAAGTAGTAGGAAGAAGAGTCCATTTTTTTATATATGCAGATAAGCAATGACAGATCGGTTTAACTACTTTTATTTAAGTAATCATAGGCATTGAAATCAGTTGATGTTTAATGATGCAACTATTTAAAAGTAATTGAGAACTGGTGATGCCACTCAGTGGTAGTGTGCTTGCCTAGCAGGTGTGAGAGACTAGGTATAACCTAGCAGAGGGGGACAAAGTAATAAGTATATATACACACACTATGTGTGTGTGTGTGTATTTGAGGAATGCTCAGGAACTTTCTCCAACCTTCCAGGAAACAGCACTACTTTCCCCATCTGTGTTGCTTCCAAGCTGCCCCTTGGGTCAGTTATGCAAGTGCCATTCAAAGTAGAGAACTAATTGATTCTGTTTTGCTGCTTCTTGTCTCCATGTATTTTAGTTGAATTTTACTTTTTATAATTTCACGTCTATTTGTCTTATACATATGTTTTTTGTCTGTCTTGTTTTCTTGAACCTCCCAATCTGTCTTTCATTATAGAAATAGGATTTTGTTTGTGAATCACCCCACTCCCATTCCCTACATTATAGGGCTGTATGTTATAGTTAAATTTTGGTTTGGCAAATGTTCCCTGTCTTCCCTGTGAGCCTCTGTGATGGTGATGTAGGTCAAGGTTTCAGCTCCCCTAGGACCCATTTTCTTTCCAGTGAAGCTGCCCCAGCTCTGCAAACTTCAGCCTTTTTTCAGCACTTCAGCCTGCCAGGCACTCATTCTGCAGACCAAGGTAGACAAACTGCCTTTTATGTTTATAGCAAAGGCTCTCATCCAGGCATCTAGCCATTTAAGATGTTTTCCCCCTTGCCTAATGTTATGGACTAAATTGTAGTCCCTCAAAATTCTTTTGCCAAAGTTCAATACCCAGTACTCTCAGAATGTGATTATATTTGGAGATAGGGCCTTTATAGATTATTAAGTTAAAATGAAAGTGTTAGAACGGGACCTAATCCAGTCTGAGTTCCAAGAGGAAATTTGTGATGAGGAAAATTAGAACTTGGAAGGGCGCTTTGTGTACCTCATCTATTGCTACCTTTAAGAGTGACCAAAATTGTCTGTTGTAGTGTTCTAGATGATTTTACTTAAACCACTTAGTGCTCTTTCTTTCTTTCTTTTTTAAATTTTTTTTTGTATGTTTTTTGCTACTATTGTTCCTCAGATTGTTGCTGTCCCTGGCGTTGAAGGTTTCCCAGTGCTTGTTCTCTGGTAAGGTGTATTTATGAGTTCTTGGGTTACCCTTTGGGCTAGGAAGTCTCCTCAATTGTATGGATTACTTTCAGTGGTAATCTCTTTCAAATTCTCCTCAGCTTCACTCTAATGGTAAATTCAATCTCTTATTTCAAATGTTTGCTTTAGGTGAGACATTGGCAAGAAGGCTTAAGGCCACCTGCTTCCAGTGATGCAGGAAAACTCACAGGTTTTTACCTAGGAAAATAGGTGCTGCACCCTCCTCCATGTTTTTTCCCCAACTCTCTCTCACCTTGCTCAAATAGCTACTGTATCCTTGGCAGGCACCTTCAGTTTTTGCAAGTAATTCTCTCCTTGGAGGCATGATGTTGTATAGTTCCCTTCCTAACTTTAATTCATTCTGAAACAATTTAGACAATTCATTTTTTGTCTACATCACTTTCTGTTTTCTCTTCCCTCACTCCTTCCCCTTCCTAATCCATTCATACACAACACTTCAGTTTATGTGTACTTCATGGTGGGTTAAGGATTAAAGGGATGGGGCTGGGGATGTGGCTCAAGCGGTAGCGTGCTCGCCTGGCATGCATGCAGCCCGGGTTCGATCCTCAGCACCACATACAACAAATGTGTCTGCTGAAAACTAAAGAAATAAATATTAAAATAAATTCTCTCTCTCTCTCTCTCTCTCTCTCCCCCCCTCCCTCCCTCCCTCCCTCCCTCCCTCCTTCTCTCTCTCTTTAAAAAAAAAAAAAAAAGGATTAAAGGGAAAGTGGCCTGGGGCAGTTACTTCAAAGTAGCACTATCCTCATGAATAGCAAAGAAGGTTTTCATATGCATTGTATTCATTTTCTTTAGAGAGCTGGAAATTTGTCCTCAGCCTCTAAACAAAAGAAAAAGTCCCAGTTAAATTCATATCTGTCTTTATAAAACCTCATCTCTGTGCTGTATATTATCCTAAAACTTAGAAAAATAAGGTTCTTTTATCTTCATATCATTCAATGGTAAAGTGAATTTAAGAATGATTGGCCCAATACAATGGTACACCCCTGTATCCCTGGCTACCTGGGAGCCTGAATAGGAGGATGACAAAATCAAGGCCACTATGGGCAACTTAGACCCAGTCTCAAAAATGGAAGGGGTACTGCTAGGAGCCAGGCATTGAGCACATCCAAATTTTTTCCCAGCCACATGGGAAGCTGAAGCAGGAGGATTGCCAAGTTTGAGCCCAGCCTCAGCAACTTGGTAAAACCCTGTTTAAAAAAAAAAAAAAAAATATGGCACAGTCGTAGAATGCTCCTGGGTTCAAGACCCAATACTAAAAATAAGGGGGAAAAAAAAGGAATGAAAAATTAAAAAGCAAGGGCAACTATAGGAGTTAAGCTACAGATTTTAAAAAATCTACTTAATGGTTATCTTGTGTATGTGTGTGTATGGTTCTGGGCTTCATACATGCTAGGCAAGAGTTCTACTACTGAGCTATGTTCCCAGCCCAATTTTTATAATACCTTTAAGTAGCCTTAAAAATAGTACAAAGTAGAAAATAGGTGATAAAATTTAGCTTTAAAAGAGCCTGCCTTTAGTCTTAATTTTTTGTTGTTGATACATTTTTCACACGTTTTGATAACATTTTCTTAACAGAAAGTATGGAGACATTTCATACTATAGTATGTCTTAGTTTGTGATTTTTTTCCCCAAACTTGGTCAGGTAAAAGTATGACAAATATTAAAAATCAAATAAATATTAGAAAGTACCAACAGATGAAAGCTTAGTTTACCTTGAATCTCTTTACCAGTTATTACTACCAATTGTGTTCTGAAAACTTGTAGAACAAGCAACAAGATAAAAAATTAAAATTTTAAGTTTGAAGGAATTTGTAAATTTTATGATTAGGAGAATCAGCATTCCATGTGAAAGGAATATTATAAATAAATTTATGGGGAGATAGTTGTCAACATAAAATGACCATAGCTGAGTTTGACAAATATATAAGGCAATTAAAGAGGATAGTGGAACACGTGGCTAAATGGGTAGGTTGTTTCAACATGATATAAATGTGTAGGGTGCAAGGGGAACCTTTAATTCCAGGCCATGGAATTTAGACATTAGTGATAGATAGTACAGAAAGAGTAAAGGTTTTTTAGCTAGCAGAAAGGAAAAGAGGGAGAAGGGAACTGAAATTATTTAGTACAGTAAACAGCAACTGACAGATGGTGTAAGGGAAGGGAGACAGGGAAAAGGTGGCTGTAGAATTGGAGAAATTAAAATGTAACTAAAACAGTTACTTGAGGGAAGAAAGGCTCAGAAATCAAAAAGTGAGATAATAACAAAAACATGAGATAAAAGGATTGGTTAAGTAGTGACAAAATTCAAGCCAATTAATGATGGGATCAGTGAATAAATGGGAGGTTTCATGGAGAAATTTAGAGATAGGATGGTGGTAGTAAAATAGAACTTAAATGCATTCTTCATGGTTAGCATTAGTATTAAAAAAAAGATAGATTTGGTAACCTGGAAGGTAAGGGGAAAGGAGAGAGTATGAGCATGCAGTGCCCTACCACTACATTTAGACTAGTAGGAGAGAAAGGGAAGACAGAAAGGCATTACAAATTTGTGAAGCCAGAGATTAAGGAAGATGAAGATGAAAAAAAAAATGTGACAGAAAATTAGGAGAATTTAAAAGGAAGGAATTCTGAGGAGGGGGGGAGTGGGGAGGGTGATGGTGTATGAAACATCGTAGATCAGATAGGTCTGGGTTCACAAACACCCAAATACTTACTTACCAGCTCTGAACCTGGCAAGACACCAACTATGAGTTGGTTTCCTGGTCTATAAAATGATGACATTGGCCACATTATACTATCTTTGAGAGGAATGAAGCTTTACACACCCTCACCCCTATCCACCTCCAGCTCTGTATAATATATAAAGTGTTCAATAAATAAGTTTTTCCTTATTTTCAGGGACCGCCCCCCAACATATGAGATTCTGGCAAGCAACCAAACTGAGAGATGAGATTCTAATCATAAGCAGCTGAAGAGCTAGCCTTGCAGTTACAGATGGTGAGAGGGTGTAGTTTCCTGGGTTTTGTTGAACAATAGGAGGGTGACTCTTCCCTTGCACTGTTAACTGGAGCTAAAACGTTTAAGTTCAGCTATTTTTATTAATATAGACTTTAATCAAACAAAACCAGCTGTGGACTGAAGGAAGTTCTTTGTTAAGTTGTATGGAAAAACAATCCATCGTTCTAGATTTAGTTAGGTTAAACCCCCAACTAAAAATAAAGTGAATCTAGTTACAACAGCAACAATATTAAAATAAAACAAACTATTATTGATTCTAGAGCCTCAATCTTCATACAATACAATATCACTGCATGAAAATAAATAAAATTCTAAGAATTACAATGGGATTTTACCAGTTGTTTGTGTTCAAGTTCATAAAACAACAACAACACATACACACACACACACACACACACACACACACACACACACACAGAAACAGCCCAGATACCAGTGATCCACAGATAGACAACTTTTTAATAATTAGAAAATTAGTGCTCACACTATATCCTATGTGTAGAAGAAACCATTTTTACATAATGATTTTGACTTAGCTGTATACAATATTTTAAGATACTGTACAAGATATATTTGGCACAAAGACTGTTAGATGTTTATACTGCATAAAATGAATTGATATCTAGCCTTTAATAGCTTAAAAAAGAAACTTTTCCTCTATTTAGTGAAGTTAAGGCACTACTTAAGTTTCTTCTTATAATATGAATTTGTGTTATTTAAATTAAAGCAGCATTTAGAAAAATTTATAGATAGGTGTTTTCCATCGGTTGCCACCAGGAGTTGGGAAACTATGCCTGTGGGCCAAATCCTGTTTGTGCTTGCTACGTTTCTATTGGGATGCAGACATGCTCATTTTTGTGGCTGCTTTTGGGTGACAATGGCAGAGTCTAGTAGTTGTAGCAGGAGCCATATGGTTTAAAATATCTACTATCTTGCCCTTTACAGAAAGTTTGCTAATCGCTAATAGTGATAATTTGATTTTGGGGGCAGAACATGTTATAGAAACCAGAAAGGACTCTAGTGAGGAGCATCAAATGCCACAGACAAGTCAAAGGGAGCAGGCTGACAAAAGGCATCTTCCCAGTGACCTGGTGTCCAGATGTACAGCAGGCATTCGGTGAGTGCTTAATCCATTTGCTCAGTGAAAGCTGGGGCTCTGCTTTGCTACTGGGTGACAAGAGCAGATTCCTCTGAAAATGACTTAATGGTGGCCAAAGTTGTCAAAGGTCATGAATCAACTTTTCATCTAGATTTTCCTGGAATAACAGGATATGCTGTAGCCATATTTTGTTTTTAATATGGATTAAATAATCAAAAGCAGTTCTAAAAGATATTGCTTTTTTTTTACACAGATTAATTGCTCTTACTATTAAGCTACCTGTTGGAATTTTCATATTCTAACACTAGTTGGAGGTTTTTGTGGTTAATCAGTTCAGAAAACAGATGGTTAGACCCATTTTTTATTTCAACCATCATTCCTCAAGTGCCTTTTATGACTCAAGCAGGTGCCAGAGGCAGGGAGTGGCAGTGAGTTCATTTACTTATATTTTATTTACCAGACAATCACTTATTTCCTAATCCCTGACTTGCCATAAAAAGGATTGGCAATCCCTTGGCTTTAACAGTGAAGGACTTGATCCAGCCCAGAATTTCAATGAACGATTTTTAGAGACAGGGATTTGAAGCCACCACTCATGCAGCAAAAGATACCTGAAAAGTTATGTGGGCACCATTGTTGAGCCTTGATGTCAAGGTCATGGAGCCTCTTCAAAGGAGTCTTAGGGAAAGGAAATAGCAGCAAGCATCAGTGAGGATAAAATAAGCCCATTTGGGTTTGTATTTACTTCTCAAAATTTATAAATAACACACACCAGGTGAGTCCTATGCACACCTGTGAGACCTGGTCATTAGCTATTTCTCTTCATGTCACTTTTGGTTCTCAGAGATGAAAGTAAATACAAAGTGCAAACCCTTGGGTATAAGACCCAACCTCACTGCCTCCCTTTTGTGGGTACATTAGTGATAACATGAGCAATGGAATAAGAATTATATTATAAAGAGGATTTTGGTAGAAATGAGACCAGAGAATCCTTTTGCATCTATTAGTATTTTCTTAACCTCCTAGATAACACTCTGGCACACAGGGTGTCTGCAGGTTGTATTTGCTTGATTTGTGGATTAACTTCACAATCAGTATGATGTAATAACTTTCTCTAAAAGTTAGAACATTAGTTAACATTTCACAAATATCAAAATATTTTAAAGTAATTTGATTCCTGTTCTTTAGCCCAGACAAAAGAAGCCAGATCATATTTTGGATAATGACAGAACTATTTGCTTAAAATAACAATTTTAGGTAAATCAAGTCATAAAAAACCATAATGAAATATCAATTTCATTTTGTTATGTACCTCTTTGCAAATTAAGACAAAGCAGAGTTTTATAATACTTTAATATCTGTAACAACTGTGGTTTTGGTGTATCTTAAAAGTAGAATTCTTTTAAATTATGAAGGATTTTGTGTGCTTGAAATCCTAGGGGAAAAAAAGAAAACAAATCAAGGTTAAATATAATATACTACTACATATTTAAGGAAATACATATAAGCCTTATGAATATCAAACTACATCCACTATAAGAATCATAGAGATAAAAACCATCACATATTTAATGAAATCTGTTTTATGGGGATTTAAATAAGTAAATACTAGGAGACAAGATACTTGAAATTATGTCTAGAAAGTAAGGAAGCAGGACTGGAAATTAGAAATAGTGTTGCTTAGGGGTATGCTACTGGCAGCTAGCGGGGCAGAAGCCAGAGCTGTTGCTACACATCCTGCAGTATATGACAGCCTGCACAACACAGAGTGATGAGGCTCAGAGTTGTCAGGTTAAAAACCCGGCTGAATATAAGGTAGAACTGAAGAGGACTAACTCTGAGATGATGACTGGCAACAGAGAAAAAGAAAGGGAAAAAGGAAAAGTCTCTTTTTTTTCAACTTAGATACAACATGCCTTTCAGTATTTGGTGGGAAGGGATTATTTCGTTCCATAAATTATAGGAATGAGTATGAAGTTACATATTGTTTATTCCCTAATTAAATAACAATATGCTTTCAGTGTAGCAAATTATATATAAATATATGGGGATTTCAGTAATAGATTCTGGAGTAAATGAATTTTAAAAATCAAAGTTTTATATTAAATTTGTGAAATTTTTAGGGAGCAATAAATGAGTGTTAAATATTAGCGTCCATTAGGCTCACAGTATTTAAAATACTAATGTCCATGCCTCACCCCAAGCTCCACTGAAAGGAAATCTAAGAATCTCTGCTCTAGAGTGTTGAGGAATTCTGGGAACCCTCTGGTTTTCAAGCGGGAGTTAAGACCTTAAAAACATTAGAAACTCCCCTTCCCTCACTATATTCCTCAAAAAAATAACCCAGAAAGTTTAATGTCACTTAAAAAACTATAAAACGTAAGCAATAATGTTCTCTAAACCATCAGAGTAAGATCCTTATTGTCTTTCTAGGACTTCTAAAAATCCTTTTAGCCCTAGCAGAGGATATTTCATATTCTTAAATTTCCCAAGTGCCTTTGAATAACCAAAGGCAAATCCTAGAACCACAGATCTGCTGGGAGTGATCTACTTAAAGCATTAGGAAACAAGGTACCTGATTCCAGCTCCACCATTTCATCCCATATGAATTTAAGCCTTAACCTCCTCATCTATCAAATAGAGTTGAAAACTGCGGGCCTAGTGATCTTAAGGAGGCATACTGATAATAGAATATACTATAAGAGAAAAAGAACGATATGATAAAGATCACTTCCTATAATTGATCTACAAATACTGGGCAACCTTATCATGCTATACCACTGGGGGGAAGGAAGCTAATGTTCACTTACATCTTTCTAGATGCCAGTAGTAGACAGTAATACAAAGTACATTAAAAGTGAAAATTCACAACTGCCATATGACTGCTTCATTTCCCTTCCCTATTCATATGTCCTGTAAATATACATTTAAAATACTCACATTTTCACTCAATGTAGGGGCTTTAGATGAAGAACTACCCTTCCTGTTTGTGGAAAATAAGAGACAGGATTTACTGCATTATCACCTCCTATTCTGAAACATTATCCTCATTTAGTTAACATTACCTCCATACATTTTATCAGCAGGAAGATGAATATTTATCTTAGCCAAAAACTATACCTGAATTTCTTATATTTATAGCAGTATACACAGAGAAAGCCATGCAACAAAGTACCCATGAGTGAAGCCCTGTGCATCTAAATATAGCCTATGGCTAATATACTAAAGATTTTTGTGCAATTATTGCTATGTAACTTAATATATTAACATTAAGCATTTTGAAAGCTTAATTATTGTAATCTCAAAATTTCACTTTTATTAATAGAAAGATTTACATGTGACTAGGGTTGTAGTAGAATTCCAATAAATTTTAAAAGCTGTAGACTTAATGATCAGGAGGAAAGGTGTCAAGATATAAATATACTCCTTTCCAAAATATTATCTGGTTTTGTAGAGACATTAATTCAAGGAAACATTAAACTCCTTTACTGCTTATGTAATATTAGATCTCTCTGCTCAAAACCCTCCAATTATTTTCATCTTTCTCAATAAAGTGGAAGTCCTTGCAACTGCCTGGGGGTCAGGTGGGATGGGGTGGGGTGGTGGCTACACATTCAGGCTGCCCCGCTCTTCTGAACTCACCTCCTTTGCTACTCCTAGTCCTGATAACTTGGATTTCACCCTGGATTTGTACTGGGATATTATGAGGGATGGGGCCAGGCATCTGGGAACAGGAAATCAATGGTAGCTAAGTCTTCAAAAGATGTAGATGACAGTGTATCTGAAACCATGGCAGCTGGGAATAGAGGAGAGAGCCCTTAGACTCACAGTAGGGACTGCCATGTCCATATGTACAGGAAGGACAGTCACAAATCAAGCACACATAAACTGGGACTTTGGTGATCTCATTCATATCTCATATACCAATGACTCCTACATTTCCATCTCCAGTAAAACTATTTCCCCAAACTCCAAAATTGAATATTCAGATACTTAATGATTAGCTATACTTGGAAGTCTAATAAGTTTATTGAGTATTAAAATTCCAAATACTCCAGACCTCTTCATCTACCCTACCACCACTTCCAAGGCCACTCCTCCTAAATCTTCCAAACTTCCATAAATGGAAACTCTATCCTTCTCATAACCTTGAAGCTACCTTCCATTGCTTTCTTTTTCTCACAGCCCATATCCAACAGATCAGCAAATAGTTAAACACACACACACACACACACACACACACACACACACACACATACACATATACATACATATATCCAGAATTCTATCACTTTTCAACATCTCCAACACTGCTGCTTTGGTACCAACTGCTATTTTCTTTCTTTTTTTAATTGGCACATTATTAGGCATAATAGTAGGATTCATTATGCCATATTCATAAATGCAATTAATGTAATTTGATCAATCTCATTCCCCAGTACCTTCCCTTTCTTTCTCCTCCTCCCTCCCCAAATCCAGCTACCATTTTCTCTCGCCTTGAGTATTGCAGTAGCTTCCTAACTGGTCATGAGGTAATACCCCTTGTTACCTCATGGTTTATTCTAAACAGAGCAGCCAATTGGAACTTTTGAAGAATTAGGTAAGATCATGCTATTCTTCCACTCACAGCCCTCCAATGACTTCCTATTTTAATTAAGTACCAACATTTAACTGCTCAAAACTTCCTGGAAAGGTCTCCATACAATCTGACCTCTTTTGTATACTCATCTCCTTCTATCTGTTTCCCATATTCTGTTCAAGTCACACTGATCTCCTTGATATCCCTTAGACATTTTAGCCATGTTTAGTCTTAAGCTCTACTACAGTTTGGATTCTGGATGCTCCCAAAGGTCCATATGTAGAAAGCTTGGTTCCTAGAATGCAAAGCTCATGGGAGGTGGAAGAATCTTTAGGAGGTGGGGCCAAGTGCGATGCAGTTAGTCACTGAGGACAGGCACAAAAAGGAGATATTGGAAACTTTGTCCCCTCTTCTTCCTCTCTCTTTTGCTTTCTGGCCCCCGTGAAGTGAACAGACTTGTCCAACCTCATACCCCCTGCCTCAACATGCTGCCTCACCACAGGCCCAAAAGCAACCAGGTCAACTGATCGTGGACTGAAACTTGCAAAACATTTTCTGTCTTTAACCTGATTATCCCAGGTATTTGTTATAGTAATGGAAAGTTAGCTCACTCAAGCTCTTTCTGTTTCCTGCCATGAACATTCTTTTCATGGATATCTGCATGACTTACTCTCTCATCTCCTAAGGTCTTTCTCAGACATCGCCTTTGAGGGAAGCTCTTCCTGACTATCCTATTTAAAATAATTTTCATTCCTACCTTGTGCATTCCCTGTCCTCTTACTTGCTTTATTTTTCTCCATAGTGCTTAACACAATCTGACATACTGTATACTACACATATTTGTTGACTTTCTGCCTTTCTTTACTAGTATATAAGTTCTATTAAGCAGTATTTTGTGAACTTTTTTGGTCTTGTTTTGTGTACTACTATTTTGCCAGTCTTTAAAACATTGTTGTCAAATAGATAATTAAATGTAAAAAATGACCTAGTAAAATTTTATTTGAAAAATTTAAATTTAGCAAAATGCAGTAAATGCATATATAT